TTTATTTAAATTATAAAACCAATTGATATAGATCAATATACAGTGTTATCTGAATGGATTTCAGAGATCAAGGCTTCTGTGTTCTGTGTTGCTACTATTCCACCTGTTACAGAAGACAAGCAGTGCAACCAAACCCAACCAAAAGTCCAACAATACAAACTAACTTAGGTACTTGATCACTACTCATTACAACCAGAGAGGGGTATACTTTCCCCATGTTGATTTGGAGTGAACTGTTTCTGAACTTTGCAAAGAATTCTGCTTTGTCTTTTTCTTTTATCCTCTGAAATATCAGAAAGAATTCTCCCATTCATCTCCTCTGCTGGCCTGCCCCCACCCTTGACTCTCAGTTTTGTCACTAGTCTTGTCCTTCTCTTTTCCCTAACCCTGTTTTCCAACAGCCATGAACTGTGGGATTGGGGTAATTTCTCTGGGCCTTAATTTTGGCAAAACTCTTACTAAACAGAAATTTTTGGTGCAAAGATCTTGCAGAACTGTAGTTTTTCAGGACTCCTGGGGCTGTATTAAAGAAGAAAGCTCAAAATGCCCCACGATTATTTATGATTATGCCAAATTTTAGGGAATTCCAAATGGTTGTTTCCAAACTGCTTTCACAGTTTCAAAACCTGGCAGTACAACCAACCATAACAGGATAATTAATGCTTCAGTATGTTGTTAAAAGTCTGCAAAGAAAAAAAGAAAAAGAATAGAACCTGTTCTATTTAAGGTACTAAAAATTACAGCAGAGCAAGAACAATAGTTGGGATATCAACAAATATATACATCATTTTTGTTTATATACTTTCTCCACAATGCTTGTATTTATTCTGGAATTTTGACTTTTTATACTTTAGGCAAGCAAATGAATATATATCATTATAGAACATGTTACATCTGAAGTACAGATTAGGGGAGCTCTGGATGTGAGTGATCATTCCATCCTTTGCTTTGAGATCAGGGGACTGGGGACGTGCAGCAGGTTGAGCACTAGAAGCTGGGACTTCAAGAGGGCCAACTTTGGCCAACTGAAGGCCAGACTGGGGAAATTCTCCTGAGATAGGTTACTGGAAGGCAAGCGAGTTGAGTGTGGGTGGATGGCACTAAAAAGGGAGGTTTTGGAGGTGCAAGCCTTGATGATACCTCTAGTCAGTAAGATGGGGAGGCAGAGGAGTGTGCCGCCATGGATGCGAAAGGAGGTGGTTAGAGGGATTAGACGAAAGAGGAACCTCCATAGGAAATGGGTACTGGGGGAAATAGGCAAAAGGGTATATTGGGAGGAGGAGGCCCGTTGCAGAAGGATTCTTCGCAAGGCTAAGGCTGATTATGAGCTGAGACTTGCCAAGAATATCAAGAGCGACAAAAAGGGCTTCTTTCAGCAGGTAAATAGGAAGAGGAAGGGGAGACAAGTGGTGGGACCACTAAATAAGCAGAAAGGAGATCCAGTGACTGATATGAGGGAACAGGCACAGATGCTAAATGACTATTTTGCCTCTGTGTTCTCCCCAAAGCAGGATGGGGGAGATCCGCATAGGAGATTAGATGAGGCTGAGGACTTAGGGGCACAGATTAGAGTCACCCCCCTTGAAGTCGAGGGGCTCCTCAGGGCATTGGACATTACAAAGGCACCAGGTCCTGACGGGTTACACCCGAGAGTACTTAGAGAGTTGGCAGGGGTTCTCTCACGCCTGCTGGCCTTCATTTTTGAGACCTCATGGAGAACGGGTGAAGTTCCAGAGGACTGGAGGGTGGCATCAGTGGTCCCAATTTTCAAAAAGGGTAGTAGAAAGGACATGAGGAATTATAGACTGGTTAGCCTTATGTCCATTGTAGGAAAAACAATGGAAAGGCTCATAATAGAGAGAGATCTAGTGATGCTAGATAGGGAAGGGAGGCTGACAGCCACACAACATGGCTTCCGCAAAAACAGGTCCTGCCAGACAAACCTTGTGGAATTCTATGACAAGGTTTCGAGATGGCTAGATGGAGGGGATGCAGTGGATGTGGTATACCTGGATTTCAGCAAGGCCTTTGACAAAGTGCCCCATGATATCCTGGTGGAGAAGCTGAGGAGTTTTGGGATACACCAAACCACCGTCCAGTGGATTAGGGCATGGTTGACTGACCGAAAGCAAAAGGTAACCATTAGCGGGGAATCATCAGGATGGCAGCCAGTGACAAGAGGGGTCCCCCAGGGCTCTGTCCTGGGGCTGATCCTGTTTAATCTTTTCATTAACGACATGGAAGAAGGGGTGAACAGTCTGCTGATCAAATTCGCAGACGACACTAAAACTGGAGCAGTGGCCACAACTGAGGAGCAGGTACTCCAGATCCAAAAGGATCTGGACAGACTATGGAAGTGGGCAGGAGACAACAGGATGGTGTTCAAGCTCTTGCACTTGGGGCATAGGAATAGCTCTCATAAGTACAGGTTAGGTGACAAGTGGCTGGAGAGCAGCACTTGTGAAAGGGACCTCGGGGTACTGGTTGACTGCAGGCTAAACACGAGTCAGTGGTGGACAAGAGGGCGAATGCCACCCTTGGTTGCATAGCCAGAAGTGTGGCTTCTAGATCAAGAGAGGTATTACTGCCACTCTATACGACTCTGGTGCACCTGCAAACTGGAGTATTGTGTTCAGTTTTGGGCCCCTCATTACAGAAAGGATATAGCCAGGTTGGGGTCAGTGCAGCGTAGAGCCACAAGGTTGGTGGCCGGTTTGCAGGAGATGCTGTATGAGGCGAGACTGAGGGAACTGGGTCTCTTCAGCCAGGAGAAGAGGAAACTCAGAGGGGATATGTTGGTGACATACAGGTATGTGAGGGGATGTCACATGCAGGCGGGTAGAGACCTGTTCTCCCCTGCAGAGGAAGGAAGGACGCGCTCCAACGGAGCAAAGCTCAGGGAACCAAGGTTCCATTTGGATGCCAGGAAGCACTTCCTGACAGTCAGAACCCCGAGGGTGTGGAATGGGCTTCCATGAGAGGTCGTTGAGGCCCCATCGGTGAGGGTGTTCAAGGATAGGCTGGACGTCCACATGGTGGGCATGTCATGAGCAGAGCCGGCTGGAGCCGGAGGTCAGACTAGATGGCCCAGGAGGCCTCTTCTGACTCGCTCTGTTTCTATGTTTCTAATTCTGTAAATGTTAGCTTGTTTTATTAGTAGTTTTGTACAAATAATTGTAACATGGAAGTCAGTTAACACTCAGCATTGGTGTAAATATAACTGGGGTTAGAGATTTCAATGGATAGTTCTGATACATTTTTAAAACTATATAATTAATGAGACACTTGGAGATGAAACAAGCTAGAGATGTGAACAGATAGATGTTCACTAAAACCCACACCAACTCCGATTCCCTATTTTGTGCCCCCTTAAAGTATGTCTTACTTCTCTGTCTTATTCAACACATAGATGCATCATTTACATAAGTTCTTCTCCCCTGTAGAAAAACATCTCAGATAGCAGAAGCAGAAAAGACCTTTGTCTATGAAGCCAGACAGCCCATGCCTGTCAAAGCAGACAATTCCACCCTAGAGAATGGTGGCACACCCTGCATGCACCACCGCCCCACTTTCATGGTGGCCCCACTCCCAAGTTCCATGCGGCCAGACAAAAGAAATATCAGTGGTCCAGGTTTAATAACCAAAGATAAAGAATAGGTTCTCAAAAAGATTATAATTTAGGTCTGAAGTTACTTTAGCAGCAAGGTTTCTGGGATTCTATATTTTTTTTCTTCTTACCGTCAACTAGGTGTTCTAAGCCTTTGCTCCCAGTCCTTAAGATATGTAAACCAAATCTCATATCCAACTCTTAAATCACAGGCCTAGCAATGATAGCCATCGTTTCCTCAGAATGGTCTGACTACAGGCAGGAACCTCTAAAGCTGTTCCTCAGGTTTCCCCTGAATTCTTCGGTTGATTCAGCAGCTGCTTTGTCTTCAGATGACTGCCATTCACACCTCAACTCTTTCTGAAGGTTGCTTTTCTTCACTTCACCTGTAGATCTCTTTCGGCCTCTGCCTCACATGCTCTCAGGTCTCACACTATCTTCATGGTCTTATGGCTGCTCTACTTCCTGGCTAATATCTTTGCAGATCCTTTCAAAGCTATTTTCTCATCTGTCTTTAACTTTGTCTGCACATAACAGTCACCCATTGTGGGTAAACTTTCCTGCAGGGCATGCCCATTTGGAAATTCCAGTGAGTGCCCGACAATTATGTGTGACCTTGGCAAGAGTGGGTCATTGGGGTGGTTCACTAGAACATGTTTTAGGGTTGTAGATGGCTTTTTACTACCCCAGCTTACTGGGTTTGCACACAGTGACAAGTTTCAGTTTTTTTCCACTGGGCTTGAATTTTCAAAATTGTGGCTGGTGGATGGTGGCTACTAATTACATAAGAATCAGCTCTTTCTGACAGTGTCTCTCCAGGAAGACTTTACAGCTAGAGCTCTCCAGCCATTCAGTTTTAGGGTGACCAACATTTTTTCACACCACCTCTGTTCAAACTCGGGACCAATGGGCATCTTTAGAATGTTCAGCTATCCTCCAATCTGGTGGTAACATGTTTGATCTAAGCTTCCTATCTTTAAGACACAAATCTGGTCTCATAGCTCTCTCAAGAGTAGCTGTCTGAGATTCTACCAGCAGATCATATTTACAAAGTATATTTCATAAGACTCAAATATAAGACATGCATTTTTTCTTCTTCTTCCAATGTTACCAGTTCAGTCCTTCAAACATAGAAACAAAACATAAAATTAAGCCTTTAGCTCAGTTTTTTCCCAACAAACAGCAAGGAAAGGACAATCACTGTGAACTCTGTGTGCTTGTGTGTGCACACACAACTCCAAAGTTGTGTATAAGACCACTTTGTTGATGAGAAAAGCTGCCTTTGAAGAATAAATTGTGTCCCTTTATTATCTGCCAACAGGAAGAATTTTTCTTTAAATTTTGAGAACAGTTTAATTTTAGCAGTGCTTATGAGATTATACTGGTGCCTTACCTGTGCAAGTCGTCTTTTTTCTGTGTTCAGTCTTGCTGTGTTATTCAACGTACTGAATGGAGTATATTGCACAATACCCAAGCTACAAGGGCCATACTCATCCTCTGTTTCCTAGAGAACACATTTAAAGCTTAAAAATATTCATGCATATATGTATGTACTCACAAAAGCACACACTTTTGTTAAAACAGATGGAAAAAGTATGCCATGAAAAAATTCTGTCACCAAAAAGAACTTGCATTTCATATTGTGAAAGATATTAGGAGGCAAAGTACCCGGAGGAGGGCTTTCTCTGCGGTGGCGCCCTGCCTATGGAATGCGCTCCCCAGAGAAGTCCCCCTGGTGCCGTTGTTATATGTTTTTTGGTGCCAGGTTAAGACCTTTTTATTTCAGCAATATTTTAATAAGTTTTAATATCATACCTTATATGTTTTTATTGCAGCCAGTGTGGGTCGATAATTTTATCTATGTTATATTTTATTGTATTATCTATGTGAGCCGTCCTGAGGCTTTCGCAATAGGACGGCATATAAATACTTTAAATAAATAAATAAAATAATATTAAGGTGTAATAGCTGTCGAGCAACTTTAAAAAGAGATCAAGCTTTTAAGAGGAACAATTACAACCCAATTCATGTATTTGACTTTGACATTTTAGCAGGTGGAAGCAATGATATGAAATTAATATGTAGGTGAACAAATAAAAACTTGACTGGAATTAAACAACACACACACACAAAACCAGTGCCTCAAAAGGGTAATTCCCATACTTCCGTATTGCTGTTCTTGGAAGTTAAAGAGGTTTTAACATGATAAAATACTTCCACCATGTACAGATCTCATGAAACCTAAACAGACAACTACACCTTCTGAATTACATTTCTCTGGTAAAACTTGCTAGCCTTAAATTCTCAGCATGAAGCAAAGGCTTCAATTGTGATATCAAAGCAATCAGCTTTATGAAAACATACATCCTGTTAACGTATCTTTGAAGACCTCTGTTTTTCCATGATAAATATGCAAACAATAAAGGGATTATTCAAGTGGATGCATAGAATGACAGATAGTTGCCAGAGGGCTCGTTATAAAATATGTATTGTTGAACAAAGGGCTAAGCATATTTCAAAAGTCATTAAAAACACAAATCTTGTGGGATTTGTAAGGTATGTACTCCAAATTGAAGCAAGAAACAAGGTAAGGAAGAACAAATTCTGTGACATACCTTGAGTTTCAACTTACTCTTCACCTCTTTTATTCCCTGCTTTGCATGATTTTTTGCCTAGGAAAATCAGAAAAAGGAAAACGGACTAACTGGATGTGCAAACAATGGCTTGAAGAGGGCACTATATGAGGTGAAATTTAATTAAACTCAAACCTCTCACATTATGTGGTACAATGAAGGGAAATTACTCCCTTTGTTAATTTCACACATGATTGCTAATAAGGTTTGAGTGAATTAAGAGTTGAATCTTGGCATATGTTACAAAAAATACACTAATTGAACTGGCATTTTATGTGAAATGGTACATTTCTAGAAAAAATACTTAGTTCAGCCACGTGTTGAGTAAAGAAATGGTTTGGACAGCCTCACCCAACCTGGAGCCCTGAGAAGTGTTGGCTGGATGATTATGAAAGCGGCCGTCCAACACACCTGGGGTTGGGGGCGGCAGGTTAGGAAAGGCTGACTTGGGGTAATAATCTTGCAACTCGCTCCGTTTTCACACCCAGAGAGGTCACCTACTTGCAGAGGTGCTATTATTTACATTTACTTCTGTTGCGCTAAGCTTTCGACTTTCATTCCACTTCATGACATCAGCCTGCACAAAAATGAGGCTTCTGTTTTTCCTTAATCTGGAGATGAAGTAACCATTCTAGAGGCCAAGAAACCACATGCATGTTTTCCAGGTAAGCGAAGTTTTCCCAAAGAAAAAAATAAAGGGAAGCAAGAGGATTGCCACCAGACACCCATTTAGATTCAATGTAGCTGTTGGGAATTCTCCAAGCAGCTACAGTGATTACATGTCAACTATTGGGCAGGACAGATGACCCTTTAAATTTTAACAGGAATGGCTCCTCACTACTAATGGGAAGAAACGGGCTTCAGCAGATGCCCCCCTACTTATTAAGCAAGCATTTCCCAAGTCTTCCCTTTTACCATAGTCCTGGATCTGGGAATGAATGGACCTGCATCCATTTGACTTTGAAAGTGATACAGTACAGGTGGAATCTCCCAAAGAACTACACAGTCAGATGTGTCCAATGCCCAGTGAAGATAATGAATTGAAGATAAGCAGCATCCATGCTCCACTACGTATTTGGATGCACATCCAAGTGAGAAGGTTGCCTAGCCGTACTAGTTTGCTTTCAAAAAGGATAAAAGGACGTGTGGGCACATGTCTAAGTAGATATTCCGTTTTAAATAGTGCAGCAGAGTGCAATAGTCTTTCTAACCTGGAATGTGCTTCTTGTATATCCTGATCCCAAAATTTCTAGAGGACTGCACAGGCAAAATATTGTCTGAGCCACAGGTTTCGATCCTGTATTTGATATCAGTCAAAATGGTTATGGCTGGGTAGAGGCAAGCCCTGCAAAATTACCAGGATTGCAGATTAAATGGGCCCAGTGCTATGATTAACCCTGCAGCATGTGGCAGATGTCTGGGCAGCTGCCATTTTAACTTCCAACAGTGCTGTAGAGAACACTGGGAGACAAAGATGGCGACTGCTGGCTCTGCTACCAGGTAGCCTTAGGGGACTTTGCCAAGGGACCGCTCCAACCTGAACCCAGCAGTGAAGAGGAACTGGCATACCCAGAGCTGTTATGTACAGGATTATAAGTTAACTTATTGTGGGAAGAAAATTTGGTGAGGAAAAAGGAGAAGAATAATTTTCCAGCCATGCTGAGCATCACTTAAGCAGAGAGAGAAGCCAATGTTGGGGAAGTTACAGTAAATTATGAATGAGCACACGAATACCTGAGGGCTCTTAATATATTTACCTGGATTATTTTTCATCATAGGTTCCATGTGATTTTGAATTAATGCACAATTGAAAATTCTTTTTAGAAATGAAAGTAATAAACTCATTTATTTACTTAGGATCAAAGCCTCAAAGCCATGCAAGGAAGTGTTCTTGTTCTCTCTCTCTCTCTTCATATCCCCTGCCACTGATTTGAGCACTTAAGCATGCTTTACATATGACATTCTGCGACACAAAGATAATATCCATCCAGATGGAAGGGGCACCAATTTTGTGCAGTGATGTTCAGCTTCACAACATCCGAACTCCTGGCTTCACTCCAAGAGTGTGAAGTCATGGCAATTTGGAGTGTGACGACTTGCTGCAAGCCATCTGGGGGAGGACCACTTCGACGTCAACAAATAATGAAGCCAAGCAGTGTGTGGCTGGAATCTCACGTCCCTAACCAAGCAGCCTCTCCTGAGCTGGTGTCCTCCAGATGTTTTGGAATTCAACTTGGGAAAGGCCATGACTATGTCTCAGTGACGTGAAATGCCAAGGTGCTATTTGGGCCATGTGTGATCAGCTTCAGCGGCACCCGTTTTCAACTAACTGACTTTTACATGCTGAATTAATTGGGCTTTTGTGTGATGTGTGACTGCCAAAGGGTGTTTGAAACCCTGATGGAATTGCTTTAGTTGTTATGAGGTACGAATAAGTAGTCACGGCAAATGCTCTGAAAACACACTCCTCTTTTACAGTTTAGTCTTCAACATACTGGAGAAATATGCCTGTGAACTTTCCTCTGAGCTAGTGATTTATGGCCTCATCCTGGGAGGGAGAGAGTTCTTCTCTTCAGTTTTGAGCAACCAGACAGCTTTTATCAGGAACAGCTACAGTGATAAAGCTGGAATTTACTGTAGTGCCGAGAAGGTAAGTTATTAGCGAGCAATTGATGGCACAATCCTATGCACGTCTATGCAAAATAAAGTCCTAGTTCTCCCAGTGTAGGGCAGGCAACATGGGACTGTGCCCCATGGAAGTGTATACTTAAACAGCTCTTGGGAAGAGAGAAAACTCACGTTGGGGAAGTTATGGCAAGAGGCAAGAAGGGTGCAACTGGTAGCTTGAAACTAAAAACTAGGAAAGAGAGTGATACGAGGAGAAAGAGATGAACAGGCTGGAATTTAGCTCAGAGGAGAAGTTGCTGAAATTCCCTGCAGTGAGACTGTCCTCAGACTATTTCGTAGAGGATGGTATAAAAATGGTTTCAAGAAATAAATAATAAACAAGTACCCTGTGGAAGCAGGATGCTCAGGGAGGTGTTCGCATGTAGCAAATGTACCTACCAGAGTGTTCTTCAGCTCAGACACACAGAAGAATAAAGAGCACATATACAAAATGTATCACGTAGGAATGGGTGGAATCTTAAGTTACTCTTCCTCATGCTTGTGGTCTTGTCTATTATTCCCTTTCTGATCCCTGGGATCCTCTAGGGCGGTATTAATGGGAAAAGACTGTCTACAGCCAGGTGGAGGAGCTCTTGGCAAGAAGCACATGAGGAATGTTGGACTTTTGGCCTTTGTCTGTCAGCCCCAGTTCCTAGAAGCTATAATGGCTGTGTTGGAAAGAAGTCCACGAAACCATGTTTTATAGCTCTTGCATCAAAGGGGAATGTGCCGTTGCTTGTGCAACAGCAAGAGGAAACAAAACAAACAGGATAGGAACAGATCTTACATATCGGTATGCTGTTTTCATAGCTGGGCTTGCTTTGTTCATTGCTGTGTTGATCAATGCTCCTCCTTTCTGAAAGATACCGTATATAAATATTGTGATGCGTGCAAAGCATGCATTCGTCACACTCTCAGGGCAAGAGGAAAATGCTACAGTTCTGCATGAAAAACGATTCCCTTGGTTAACTCGCAATGCAATCCTCAGTGCCACCCTCTCAGATGGCACGCTGAAAGTTTTCTACAGCTGCATTTTGTCTGCCTCTGTCTGCTACCACCCAAGGGCCATAATGCATCATTTCAAGAGCTGACATATTTATCAATGCACTCCAACACAATTATTTGGGGTACAATCCACCAGGAAGTTCTTCATAAGCTCCACTTACATAAATGAGTGTTGTGTAAGATAGGCTGGCACAGAGGTTCATTGTGCATATATTTTCATATCTAGTGTACAAATTCCTGGAGGGTTTTCTGTAAGTTACTATACAACAATATTATCATGCCGTGCTAATGGATGGAAGCTACAGACACATTCTGTGTTGCAGGGCAGATACCAGAATCCATAATATTAGCATACTTTCATACCTTTACTGTACACACCCACTGGTGATATGATCTTGAATTTCCTAAAAGAAGAGGGAAATAGGAAAGTAAGCAATACTTTAAGATGTTTACAAAAACCAACACGATATTCCTCAGAAAATTTACACGTAGTTTAAACTTTTTATTGAATTTTAAAGACTCAAAGGGTGTGCTCTTCATTAACAAAGGTTTTTTTCTGTTTTATTTCCAAGAGCACTTTAGGCTGTATTTCTTTCTTTGCAGAAACACAACCCTGACATGAACAGATTTTTTTAAAAAATACCATTACTTGTGTACAATCCTAGTTTGAGCATCCTGAAATAATTCTTCAAGAAGACTGATGATAAACATATTGAAATAACATTTTGTTCAAAAGATTTGAAGAGGGTGTATGAGTATTAAATGATAAATTTAGAGCATTGCATGACACTCTTCTTTTCTGCCATCTACAGTAACTACTACCTTTGTAGGTAAGGAAAATGAGGCAAATGGGAAAACTACAAATGTATATATGTTCACTGGGTACTATTACTCTGTTAAATTGCTCACAATGGTCAAGTTAAAATTTGATTGAGTGAAAGAGGTAACTTTACGTTCAAAGGTATTTAGCAGAACAAGTAGGACTTATAGATTTAGTTTTTGGACAGTACTGAGAGTTAATTTATTGCTCATTTCGAGTGAGAGGCAATGCTACAGTGTGAACCTCTAAGCTAGTAAATAAGGCTTGAAAAAACAAGAACACAGACATTTTGCAAGGAACATATGGGCATTACATTTGTTTTAAATGTCTCTTAAGTTCAATAATAAATCTAGCTTCTACAGCTAAGGTGAAATTCTGTTTATTTTGAACCTGTTGGGTTAAAAAAATTCACCTTATGTTAATCACTTCTGCGGGTGGAACTATACATGCTAGCCATCAATCCATGGTTGATTCTCCTTGAAAAAATGGGGAAGAACCAGTTCAATAACAAGTGTCTCTACTTAAAAGGGTCAGGTATCAAGTGGAAAGAAAGAGAGCTTGGAAAGTTGCTAAAATAAACTCTAAAATAATCTGCCACCTGTGTATATATTCTTTCAAGTCCTATTTTTTCAGCTAAACTTACTTCTGAGAAGAGCACATAGGAGTGCATCATTTTATTGCTATCATTGCATTTGTTTAGCTGGAAATGTAGCTGTTTCTGAGAAGAGGATAAGGAATGTATTTATAGCCATTTATTTACATTTATAGCTATTTATAAATATTTACCTGCCTTGATACCTGGTCTGCAAATATACCATATTCTACTGAACACACCAGCAATGACAATATACTCTCTGGAATTCAGACATAAAGAATAATACCATCTTCAGCCATTACAGCTTAGATAAATTGAATAGAGAAAGAATTTTGAGATGATATTGTCCTTCACACGGAAGCATGCTAAAACGTGAGTCCAGTGAAAGGAAAGACTTTACCAGTTTCCTATTTTCAGCAAAGTGAGCCCAGCTTTGCACATCTAACAGTTCTTAAGTGAAATAATGAGGATGCTCTACCACAGGGATGGAGAAATGTGTCCTTCCTAGGGACAGGGATGCAGGGATGATGGCAGCAACAGTCTAACCACCTGAAGGACATGGGTTCCCCAATCTTGCTCTACAGGGTTATCAACAACTGGAAAACCAACTTTTCAAAAACACGGCCATCTCCCACTGTTCCTGTCAGTGCAACGGGAATGAAACAAAAGAACCCAAAGGAGCCTATACCTCCACTGAAGCCACCAGCAGAAATTTCATCTTCAAACATGTCAGAGAACCCCTTCCCTGCATTCAGCCTTGCAAGCCGACCTTCAATAAACTGCAATAATAAAAAAAAGATCAAAGCAATGATGCATTTGTCAAGGATTCACATTTCAAAAATTCTGATTTCATTCTTTTTCAGAGAATTACCATTTTTTCTCAACACTGCCAGGAATTTAATGCATGTGTACTTAAGAGCTCAGTGCCTGAGCATTTACACTAAAACATCCCATCTGTTTGCTGAACAAATATGTATCATTCAGTCTCAGGAAAAGAACTTTCCTCCAATTGCTGACATTTTACAATTTAATTCCAAGAATGAGTAACTCACACCTAGGGATACAGAACTGGGCCCTTCATGTCACTTCACTTATTCTTCCTTATTCCCATATGTGTAATATGATTGGTCACCTGCCCAGGATTCACTCTTGATTTGTGAATGAGCTTTGTCAACTTATATATTAGGAACATTATAGGGTCACTTCAGACTCCACACTGGAAGACTGGAAATATGCTCCCTTCTTCCTTCACACACAGATTCTCTCTGTTGTTTCACCCAACTATAGCTTGTTACAATCTTGACTTGAGCAATCTAGAATGAATGCTGGCCATGGTTTGTAAACACAATTCATGTTTTCGAGCTTTGGCTTGGAGATAACTCATCACAGCTTCTCCAATTTGAATCACATGGCAAACTAAGGGTTGTACAGGCTAGGAAAGGAAGGAAGAAATTAATAAGTGACCCTCTCACACATCCTGAACTCTGCAAACAATGAAGATCTGTGAAATCAGCCTTCAAGAAGTTTGAGCCTGTATTATGCATGGCCTGCAAGCAGAACTTAGCAACACTGCCAAGGATATAATGTTTAGAATGGCCACAAATCAGAACAACTCAATACAACTCCCAAAGAAAGTCCAGTGTTCTCTAAAAACCTTCCAGTTGCCTTAAAGGATTAACAGAACCAGAAAGTCTTTCTCTGTCCTCCACCAGCACTGACATTTTTAGAATGCTTTCAAGCAGTCATCTATTTGCGTCAGGGTTAGGTAGCCCAAGTATGAAATAAACACAGAAAGCATTTGACTGATTGCACATTTTCTAACATGAACTACTACTAAATCTCTGTTAACTGAAACAGTTCACAGCAGCCAATGGAAATTAATTATTTGGCTGACTGTCATACGCTATCACAGATTATCCAAACAGGCCTGTCAGTGACAATCTGATGCTTGTCAATGGATAGACTGATGACATGAAACAAACTGTGCCATGAATACAATTTCCCTCCCCACAAAAGAGGAAAAAAGATAAATGCAGACATAGCAGTAGCTGCAAAACACGCAGTATCACTGATGGTTATTTCCTTCTCTTCTCAGCTAACATTCCCTTCTCCTCCAACTCCACTTAAGCTGGCTTTTTTCCAAATGGGCTTGGTTCATGGTCAGACCATGGTATGGGATCACTGGATTATTTCATAACAGGAATGAGATAAAGCACCTTTAGCTACCACTGTGCAGAAAACATTCTTTGAACCACCAGACGTTATCTTTCTGGGGAAAGCTAAGAATTCATCCCGTTGCAAAAGCAAACCCATGATTTATGAACAGCCTTGTCATTAGGTAAAATTACACAGAGTGAAATCCAAGCTCTTAAGTTTCAGTTGGTGGGACTTACTCTTATTTTTTCCCTAATCGTGCACAGAAAAGAGTTTGAATGCAAATAGGATTGTATAGAAATGAATATAGGATGCCTAGCTTGAATTTCACCTGAAAAAATGAACAGGAAAAAAGGCACAGACAACTGGTAACCAATAAGATGAATGTGACTCCTAAATTTTTTTGTCTGGCCCCTACTGCCTGCAGCTGTGAGAATGTTTAGTGTTATATCCCATTTTGTATCTGTGTTTGGTGGGTAACAGAAAAATCTATTCTGTTAGACAGAGTTATGTCTCTCATACAGTTCACCATCCTCAGACAACTGCCTAAATAGAAGTTTCACCACCCAAAAATACAGAAATGTGTCATTCCTGTCTTAAAAGGGGTTGGGTTGGAGACAAACTGCTGAAATCAATGAGATTCAAGTTGAGCATGATTAACTTGCGGGACTAACATTGGATGCTACCCTTTGTCTGGATGGTAGTTTACAAATTTTACCATAGAGGACAGATGTGCAAAGGCTCTGATAGGGCTGGAAGTGCCCAATTCTAAATGATGCAAAGAAGTGTAGAAAGATATAAAGCGGGTCAATGCCAAATTTATTCTGTTTGACCTGGATGGTCTCTGAACATAGTTTTCATCCAATGCTCCAACAGGCTAAATCACATTTTTGCTTTCAGCTTCTGCAAAATTTGGAAATGAGATCTGCATATCTGTAGAATAAATTGGAGCTAATACACTAATTTTAGCTGTTATTTTAATTCCTGTTGTTGTAGCATTTAGAAGGAAAGAAGGAACCTCCTATCACTGCAAATACACATACACCACTTTGGCCATCTTGAATCTCCTGACATTTAATTTCAGATCTGAATACAGTTGGTGCCTCAGCTTTGCCAAGTATGTAGATCTGTGCAATTTATGCAAATTTTCCCAATTAGCATAAATGTGGACATTCAAATTCTGTGCAAATTCACCTAGTTTTAAACATGTGTGCACATGTGCATACACACAAACCACAGCCTATTTGGAAGAAGTCCGTGTGCTGGTTCAGATCAAGTCTGTCCCAGCATTGGGTTGCTGGGACAGAATCCAAGGGCCAAGTCAAGGAAATAATTTGGATGACAAATGTTTGCCATACCTTAAAAACGGCCTTGACCTTTGATTGCTAGTTATGTTTCCTAGCCCATTGCCCACGTTTCCCTTTTAATGAGGTACCATTTGCAAAGACGTCTCTTCATGGCTGCAGCTACCACTGTTTCCCAAAGCAATTGTAAGCTGCAATACAGGAATTTCCAATGAAGAGATATATGGGAGGCTTGAGAGCAATGATTACATGCTCCATTCCAGGGTGACTAATGCTAACAGTCTCACACATTCACACCATTCAGTTGCCATTATCACCAAACATTGTCAACCCACCTGACCCCTCCCATATACAATCACACCATTCTGGTGTGTACGGACACACCAACATTGCTTAGTGGCGTGTAAACAGAGATCCCGGTTATTATCAGTGACTTGGCATCCAATGTTACAGCATCATGCCACAGGAGTTAACGATAAATGATGGCATAGTCTCAGTGAAGTTAATCCTGTTGTGGTTGCAGACATATGTCTTTGCTCTGTAGCCAGTTAAGAGATGCACCGCTCTTCTCCCCCTCTCCCAATTAGATGTTCTCTCTTGCAATTTCCATTTCCAAGTAGGTGGGCTTTGAAGAGGTTTAGAAGGCAGTGAAGGGGAGGACAGAAGTGTATGCTCAATTGTGAAGCCTTCAATCATGTCAAATGCCTTCTGTATTCTATTACTACACCAGTGTTACATAATATGGCAAAGACAGCCTCCATAATCTATTCTAATCAATAGGTTTACTTTCATTTAACTTTCCCAAAGAGTTAATACAAGGGCGGATGTGTGGTCCAAAACTACTGTAATGAAAGCCAGTTTCTACTGTTTCACTACAAGCTTTTGAGCTTATAAACAGATTTATTTTCTGTTTTAAAATGAATGCTTACCATTGGACTTATAGCAAAGTTTTAAATGCAGTCTTTTTGTGACTCAAATAACCTTGAAAGAAGCCCGATTACAAACAAAAGCTCTTGGATAAAAGGCAGCTGGATGGAGGATAAGGAGGAGGAATGATATCAACAATAAACTTAAGAAGGGCAATACATTGGCAATAAAAATGAAACAGTTTTAAAACATCCTTCTTTTCCCCTTGGAAGATATTTTTGTGCTATCCGATTAGAAACTCCACATATTTCACCTCTGTTGCCATAAATTTCTAGCTCAGCCTTTAAATCTCAGTCAGAAACTTGCCATTTTTTTATAATTCAACTTGCCTACCATCCTGTGAATTTAACTTATCACGGTAGTGCATCTTCAAAGAGAGCTAGCAGATTAGTTAAGCATGGCCTCCCTGCCTATGATGTTGCTTTAATCAGAGATGATGTTTCTACTGTGCCCTGTAGCTTGGGTTGCCATGTTTATCCAACATTATAAGCAGCTTTAAGGACTGATCCCTTGGCTATATTTATATTATTCTGCTCTCTCTACATCTAAGCAGTCAGTTCCTTCCTGTTGCCCATCTAAGGACTACTTTTCTTCAACCAAGAGAAGAGCAAGTTTCATGGCACCTTTTAAGATATTCATGACACACTTTCTGTTGTAGGTACAAAAAAAAAGAGATAAGTAGCCCCACCTCTACCTGCAGAAAATGTGTGGCACAGGAATTGTGTGTGGGTGTGGACAACTGAAGAAAGTCAGGAGGAAGTACCAGCCCTCCTTTTCCCCATAGCATCCTGGGCCACAGCTTTTCAGTCCGCAAAGGACCCATGGGAGGGAAGAGGGAATAGGGGTCAAACTCTGCCTGTCCCCTTCCACAGATCCTCATCTGAATCCAAACTCTGTGTTCACTTTAATTATAACGTCTTTGTAGAACCACATGGCTGGACCAAGGGGTGGGGGGGAACAGAAGTATCTCCTTCCTTCCTTCCATTTTGATATCATTCAATATCCCTAAGGGTCTATTAGTTCATGCAGCTGCAATTGGAAAGGATAGCTTGATTGTTACACGATGAAAGTACAAATATATCGCGGCTCACTTTGGATTACTGAAGACTAGGGCTTTAGCTGTGAAAATGGAGGATCTATTTTATAAATTGCATCAATTACTCTATCTCAGCAAATGCATATACAATGTATGTTAGAAATGAACTGAATCATGCATCCACTCGTTCTGCAGTACCTGTTTAAAAAGTTGAAGATTCACTGCTGTTTCCAGAAATTGTTTAGTAGTGCTGGAACGATGCTTGACAAAACTTTCTTCACAGAAACTGACTGGCTCTCCCTTAATTAGAAAACAGATATTAGAAAGGTAGCTCTTTGTGAACAGTCAGTTTCTCTTTTTCACAATAATTTTGTACATACCAGAAATGATGATGCTCTCTCATACAGAATAAATATCTTTTAAGCCATGTAGTCATTTGCTAACTCCAAACAAATATTGGAAGTAGAAGTCATAAACTTCCTACATATCTTATATGTACAAGACTGCTAACAATAGGTGCCAAAGGGGCTACATATGATTCCTAAGCCACTACAGTGTTTTTCTTCTTTAATTCATATTCCAATCATGTGTACAGTGTTATAGCTCAAAAAGGAAAAATATATTAGAAATTATTATTACTATTATTATCACACTGCATGTGCTCATATATCCTGCCTTTCCTCCTCTTGCAAGGAATGCAAGGCAGTTTACAAAGTTGTACACTTCTCCATTTTATCCTCAAAACAAAAAAGTAAGATTTAAATTTTAAATAAATTTCAAGTAAGAACAAAACATTTGTATTAAAATTATTTATTTATTTGTTGGTTTATATCCCGCCTTTTCCCTACAAAGGGCTCAAGGCAGCTTACATCATTCTCCTCCTCCATCTTATCCCCACAACAACAACCCTGTGAGGTAGGTTGCGCTGAGTCTGTGACTGGCCCAAAGTCACCCAGTTGACTCCATGGCTGAGCAGGGACTAGAACCCAGATCGCCTGAGTTCCAGTCCCATGCTCTTAACCACTGCGCCACACTGGCTCTCATTAAATCATTATTTTTACAAGCTGCATTAAGTGGTTACGCTCATGGCTTGAATTGATGCAACAGAGGGAAGTCAAGCTCTAAGAATGGAAACTATCAATTACAGGGAACTCCAAAATTAATTCTTGGCCCCCTTGCTGCTCTTCCTTTATGTTTTTGCTAGACAGCTAAAGTGGGATCAGGATACCTCATATCCTGGTTGTTGCAAACTCCCCACCTCTTTCCAAATTTCCCCCTTTAACCAAGTTGCCTTTCTGCCCTCAGAGAGCTGTGGGGTGGTTCTTTCCATGCTGGCTATGAGGGGCAGAGAACAGGGGCTGGTGCTCTCATTTCAGTCCAAGGTCGGAGCACTGCTCCTTTACTCTGTGACAACATTCATGACCATTATTTTCATTTCTGCATTGCTGGGACTAATTGGATACACACCTCCAGGAGAATATCCCTCCATCAGTCTATGTGAAACAGGATGTACAAGGTAACCTCATTTGCTTCCAGTGGGTAACAGAGAAGAACCTTCCAGTAAACTATAAACTTGGTTTTTAACATATTAAAAACAAGTCATTCTGTTTAGTTGCTTTTATGAATTTATTTCTATCACTCCTATGCTCAACAATTCTTAAAAACAACACACATCAAAACTCTATTTTCAAATAAGCACCGACCACAATACAACATATACACATGTAAGATCTTGGGTGCTTTGTTTGAGGATGAGTCTTACAATAGCCCCTTCAGAAAGCCACCAAAGATGTGTTTCCTTGGGCAGAACTTCAAAAGGGTTGAGGCCATCACTGCAAAAGCCCTGCTTTTTACAGGGGCTCACCTGACCCCACCCACTGCCCCTGCAGCAACTTGAAATATGTTATCAGATTCACCTCTCTTTGAAACCACCAACAAAAGAAAATGTCATTACTTGCCTCTGGGTGCCATTCTTGATATTTGCATTGATACTTTTGAAGACATGAAAAACTTTAAAGGTGTTCCTTTGCTCAACAGCAAGTATGAGATAAAAGAGAAGAAGGATGTAGTTTGCAGTAAAATCTATTTGGTCAACCAGACTTAAAAATGGCTTGGCTTTAGAACTAAATGCAAGATATTTTCAAAAATATCTTTGGGTGCAATGTCAGCTGCATAGGTGTTTTCATGCCTGATCCGGACAATACTTTGTAACATTATCGCAAAGGCAAAGGACCTGTTTCCCTAGTTTTCATATTGGTCACTGTGCAGAAGATTTATGTAGAACAAAAGTCCAGAATGGGTAACTAAAGAAGCTCAAAACACTTCCAGTTTCTTTTAGCGCCACCTAAGCTAAATCTGCTTTATACCTGATTATTAACCTGATTATTTATCCCGTATTCCGAGTTGCTGGAGTGTGAACCTCTTGTTAGATTATAATGCGTGTAAAATATCAGAATAAAAAATAAGAATATTTTATACTTCCACTCATGGCACAGATGTTGGAGCTCCAGAACAGGTTAAAAGCCAGCTCAAGAGCTGGAAGTGGGGGAAACTTCAAGGGTTGAACCTCGGCTTTTGGTTGGTATAAAAATGAAATAAATACAGGTACCCTTCACATGAATTCTTACAATAATGGAACAGGGAGATCTGTCAAACAAAGTAGCTTCAGGCTACTTTGAGACCAATTTTATTTTTGCCCAGAATCAAAGCCTCCTTCAGTTTCACTTCCTTGCGCAAGTTTTAGCACCCTTAGGTGTGATTTTATACAGAGTTCCTTAAATTCCGGTTTAGAGTGTGTTCATTTCAGTCTATGGTTTACGGAAATGGAACTACCACATACTTATATAAGGAGATTACTGAGGAATCATCAAAGGGCTCTCCAAGGGAGGCATTTAAAAGATACCACATCTGATCCACTTTCATGTTCTTCTTGAGGTTGTTTGTAAAAGCTTCTTTTGCTCATCTTGGGCCTTGGCAAACATCTTTATCTGTAAACCTCAGTTGTGTACAATTAAAGGATAAACAATGTTACCCATATACTACCATCAAACTCATTTTCTGAATGCCAAATCTTATGTAGCCAAAACAGCAAACATTCATGAATGGCAGGGAAGTATTAGCAGTCTTGGAGGAACCCACACACAAAAATATCCTTAGGAATAGAAACATAAGGGGAAGACTCTCCACTCCAGAAAAGTGCATTGGGTATCATGGTCTCTTGTGAGAACACACTGGACAGGAGGAATCCCTCTCACTCTGTCCAAACTGGAGAAGCATATTTCACCAGTTTTTTGCCAACAGTCGTTCACTAACCATTTCTACTGCATGAAGAAACAACACCACTATGAGGCTCTGCTAAACTGCATCATTCCAACCCCCCTAAAGTCAATTTCCTAGCTCTTTATCCTAGTACTTAAGGTTGAAGTGGGAGTACATACAGACACTCCATGCAGACGCACCCTGCAATCCAATTCTAGGTGTGTCTGTAAAGGAGTGCTGACATTTCAAAATCAGCCAATATGGCTAGTGCATTTCTATAAATTTTGTTTTATATGAAACATCTCTGCCATAAAAGTTATCTTGCTTGCTGTAATGATTATGCCAGAATGTAGCATTTAGGGGAACGCTGTGCTCTTATTTAGGGGATGCAAGCTCTAATGGGCCTTTTAGTATTGATTTACAACTTACTTTCAAAGTATGCTCAATCAAGGCCTAGTAGGGATTCTCTGCTGAGGAGGATATTTGGACCCCCCCCCAATAATATGCCAAACAAGATATCTGTCCTCTTTGACAACAGTTGCTATAGAATTCCAACCATCCCCAAGTCCTTTTTCACGGGCTGTTGGGCACAGCAGGACTCATTCCATTTAAGCCGCATTCACATTTTAAACAAGCTGCTTAATATAATGGCAAATAACTCTGATGCACCAACTCAAATGGAATAATCATCTTGAGCATGAGATGGTAAGCTAAACCTGTACAATTATATTAAAAGCAAAAGCAAATCTGATCTAGCAGAGATTTCTAAAACTGTAAGTGATGTGAACAAGAGTTCTTTCCAATGAAAGCAAAGCATTTACTTGGTTATCAAATCTATTTATTTATTTATTCCCACACACTTTTTTTTCAATTTGAAAACTGATTTAGGAGCTTTAAAGGTTAATTATCTTACTTGCCACTACTATTCTTTGAGAGTGGTTCCCACAGGATGGAATTAAAAAACAAGTTGGAATGTGGCAGCTACTGAAAAGCCGTAAAACAACAGAAAAATCAAATTGTTTGCATAGAGACGATCTCAGTTCAAATCTTGGCATCTCCCAGATCCAAGGCTGGGGAAGAAATTTGTTCAATGCCCTGACAAGTTTCTGCCTTTCAAAGTACACTGTGGGGGAGCAGGTAAAGAGATATACTTCCAGGTTCTCTTGGCAGAGGAAAACAGTTGGAGAATATATAATCCTTTGCCTTCTTACTTTACCTCACTCTGATTTAATGGGCTATTCAAAAAAAAAAATCACATTAATGAAAGTCATGCTGTCTAAGCCAAAAGAAGTGGATAAGAAACAATGGCAGAAGCGTGTTCACATTTATTATGAATAAAACTATCCAAGAAAATGAGCACAAAACCCCCACTTGCTAATTTGTGAAATGTCTTGGGCAGAAAAAAACATTTAGCATGATAAATGTGCAATCCTTCATGATAAAGCATGAAAACGAAATTATGTAATACATTAAACAAATCACCTTTCTAAAAAAATGTATCATTCAAAGATTATAAAGACTATAAACAGCTACCTTGATTTATATTGCACTTTAAAAAGTCTGGCACCATTTCAGAAAGCTAGCCAAGAAAAAGATAAAGTCAAAGAAAAGATACTAAAGCTTCTTCAAGACAGGAGAAAACTACCCACTACTTCACTTAAAACACACACACACACACACACACACACACACACACACACACACAGAGAGAGAGAGAGAGAGAGAGAGAGAGCGAGCGAGAGCGAGAGCAAGAGCGAGAGCGAGAGCGAGAGCGAGAGCACACTTTATTTAAAGAATGCTAAGCAATTATAGTCAGAAAAATTAGAGAAATTGAAAGTCAAAAATCATGTGTCATAATAAATGTGTTAGCCTTTTAGGTGCCCATAAGATTCTGTGCTAGTGATGCAACAGACTACCCCTCCAGAGAACACTTTGCGTTTGTACATCACAACAGTCTGTTTTTGTGTGATGGAAATAAGCGTGCGCAAGCCTCAAGACAACCCCCCTATGAGGAAAGGGTAAGTGTCTGAGACAGCTTAGCTTAAAAAAGACAAGGAAAGGGAAATACGATAGAAATGAAGGAAGTTTAGAGAAAGTAGACAAGGCAAGATTTTTCTTCCTCTCCAATATATGACGCCAACCCTGGGGCAGCAAATAAAGCTGCTTAATGGGAACTACAAAGGACGTACTTCATACAATGTGTAGTTAAACTGTGGGATCTGTGACCATGTAATGTAATGATGGCTTCTGACCTGGTCAGCTCTAAAGAGGGATTGGATACATGCTTGGGGAATAAGGATATCAATGGCTAGTAGCCTGAATGGTCATACATCATCTCCAAGGTCAGCAGTAGCCTGTCCGTATAGAAACAGCTGAGTGATATTTCAATCACATTTAATTTGTGGGCTTCCTCAGGCTGGACAGGATGCTGGACTAGATGAACGCTTCTTAAATTTGTAAGCTCCCCCTCCAAATCCACACACTAGCATGGCCTTAAGAAAACAGAAACTTTCATGTTTTATCCAAATTTAGTGTTATTTTTATCTAATTTTTATCTAAACCAATTTTATCTAAATATTAATCCAAATGTAGTGATATGTTCAAACTGTAGCTAAAGTTCACTATAGCTTATAGAGGAAAACCCACATCAGGCTTAGAGGCAGCCGAGTGAGAATTCGCACAAGTCAATTCTTTAACCTCAAGCTTCTACTATCATTTTTATTGACTGCACATCGGTTGCTTTCACGTAAAACAGAAATAGCCATTCTGAGCTAGGTCACTAGTGATGTGGTGCAAGAAAGGAGGGTTTAGACAGTGAAATAGTTACAACTTATTGTCAGATCACATAAAAATATAGAGAAGTGGCTTGTTGAGGATCTATCCTTTAGGGAATGGTCTATGCAATTATGAAGATGCAGACTTTAGAAGAAGAGAGATATGCCCAACCTACGAACATGCCATCCTTCCAGCAAGATATGATGTTTCCTTAGATACACAGGCTGATGAATAAGTGTAGCTACACTGGTGTGAAAACTGTCTCTTTTAGAAAAACTGAGCCTCACTGCGCACAGCCTTAATGCTGACTCCTTGCAAACCATACGTACATGCCCACATCCCTCTTTCACCTCCAGCCCACTCCCTCGCCATACATTAACTACAACTGCACATTAGATAAGCCAGTACTATGTTTGCATGGGGCCTTTAAATGCTCTGGGCTCTTTGTTGAATGTTGCAGTCCATCAGTACATCAAGGGCTATTCCCATTGTTGGAATAAACTATGATCACTCTATTCTGCCTTCCATCATCAAGAATGAGGCTGTACATATTTTGCTCTGTAGATCATGCGGGGCATTTTTCAACAGTAGTGGGAAGGTTTGTGTTTTGCCTTGCAGACATTGAAGCCATTTGCAAGCTTGAGTCAACAGGAAAATTCATGCTTGAATTGCAGAAGAGATACTTACAGGTTTGTATCTTAGTGCATCTCTATAGGAGCCAAACAATGCTGCCTGTGCCTTCAGAAAGGCCCTGGCTACTCCATCACCACTCGCTGTAGACTGCTTCTTCAGTTTATTTTTCAAGGCCGAGACCTGCGTGACAGAGAGGAACGGTTAAATTAACACCTCAGAAATTGGTACAGGGAGGTATGAACCCAATCAGCAGGCAAACCATGGTGTCTGCAGGTCAGCCAAAAAATCATCCTCTTCCTTGATAGCTTATCTTTTTAACTGCAAAGAACACCTGCTGGTCTGTTAATTGAAATGAAAGCAGGGGATGATCATAAAGTGCTAATGCAAATTGGTTTATGCTCTCTTTTTTCCCAAGGCCTCTTGACATAAATAAGCTTTAATTATTTTACAGTAAATGGCTTGTGAGCCACTTTTCCTGCAGATTTCTTGCCACATCATAACAAGTACCTACTTGTCTAAGATGAAACCAACTGGGTATCTTTCATTTGTGATTCAAAAGTTTAGTTTGAAGCACACTTAACACTCAGCTTGCAACTTAGGACAGTTCTATGTATTTACAAAGTTAATGCTGGCCAAATTCACAAGCATATGGACAAAAGGTTTCCAGAATGGCTCACCAATAGCATGGACTGGCTCTCCTAGATGGTGGCCATTATGTGTTGTTGTTGTGTTTGTTTCTGTGTTAAGAAACAAAGATAGGTAAGCACAATCTATTTTTAGAACAACATTGAGACAGATTGTCCTGGGAGAAACTCACGTACCCAAGGTTATGGACCAAAATACAATGTATAACCTTTGATTATAATGATTTCAATGGCATCTAATTAATATATTCAAGGATAATATTCTACTCATTAATATAATAACTAGTATTCTTATTATTTCTTTCTCTTAAGAAAGAGAAAACAAGGATAACTAATATGACCAAAGGATCCATTTCCTACCAGAGAGGCTAAAATATTTCCTGCCTGAAGTTGCAAGACAGACAAAGTGAACCAGGGTGCTAATTAGTCTCCTGCTGAGCTGTCCTTCATCATTGTTACCACCACCACCACCACCACCATGCAGCCAACTTATACCAACTCACTGTGGAAACAAATCAGAGGAAGTCAGGTGAAGAATCAGTATATGACTGCAATGCTCCAGCAGAACTAGCTTTGTTTAAGTCTATATTTATAATACAATCGCGCCTTTTGTGAATGTTGTGAGCTACTATGGAATTCAAACTGAAAAGTGAGATAGAAATCCACCAAACAAACCAAGTTGTGGCATTCTGTGCTTGTAGTGCTATCAGGTGCAGCACCACATGTGGGTGTCCATGTTCCATAAGGATTCCTTCTCCTTGTTGAGCTAGTCTCTGCAGCAAATGCTGGGCATCCTCTTGGGGTGCTGTCTGTCCTGCTGCCTATCTCCTATCCTGAGCGGACAGATACGATCTTGGAGTTGGTGCTGAAGATTCCAAGTCTTTGGAAGATTTTAACATACACAATGAGCTTGCTTTGTCTGGAGTTGTTCTGGAGTTCATGGCCTGTGTGACAACATTATGGAGTTGGACTGGATGGAATTCATGGCCCCTTCCAACTCTACTATCCTATGTTTCTATGATCTGTCACAAATAATAGCTGCTCCAACACATGTAGAATGGGTATGGATACTTTGGATGTGGTCTTCTATTCAGACAGAATGTTGGACAGTGGAAATTTCCAAGGGGTGTGGAACCTTTTACATATTGCCTCTGGGTGGGGAGGATAGAAATCTTGAAGGTCTGATGTGATGTGACCAGTTTGTATTGTAGTTTACAAATAAAAATTGCTCGCATTTGCATTGGCTTAGATGCCATAATTTTCTCAGAGTCAGAGGTGGATGCAACCAAGCAGGCTACTGTGTTATGTTTCAGCTGGTGCAACCTGAGGATATGGAAAGACTACTCGGGATGTTGAAGGGTATGATCTACTCTTGCAGCCTTGCCTGACCTAGATACTAACAACTGCCAGACCGGGTCTATAGGCTGCACCTCAAAAGTGGACAATGCTTTATTGTGGGAATGAGTTGCTTTTCTTAATTGTACCAGGACAGTGCTGAGAATTATACTGAAAAAGCTAAATTTGGATCCAGTGTCCTTAGACAATCATTGACCTCCAATCAATATACTATTATTAAACAGGACTATGGAAAGACTGGAGTAACTCAAATCCAGGCAACTTTGCAGGATGCTAATTATTTTTATCCACTCTAACCTGAATTTCAAGCTAGATACAGAATGGGAGCTGCCTTGGTTGCTCATGACACATGCTAGGGCAATCGATGGAGGAAGTGTGGTGCTTTTAGTTTTCACGGATCTCGCAGTGGCATTCGATGCCCCTGATCATGGCATCTTTCTGGGTTTTTTGGTAAGACTGAAAGTGGGGAACACTGCTGTGGTGGTTCTCTGGTCAGGTGAATTCTGGCAGAGGTGCTTGGTGACTTCTACCTCTTGACCTGTTTATCATCTATGCTTTTTACCACTGACATGAAGATACAGGAAGAAGGAGTCCAGAGAAGGAATCTCATAATTATGTGGAGAACAAGCAGTTCCACCTCTTGTTTCCACCTATTAACCCCAGGGATGCTATGGAACTTCTGAACAGGTGCAAGGAACTCTTGGGATAGGTGAAGGTAAATGAAACTTAATCTAGATGAGACAGATATACTGTGAGTGTGAAAACTGGCTAAAATTGAGGGTAATATTCAGCCAGGTGTGCATAGAACTGTATTACTTCTGAAGGACCAAGTTCATAGCTTCAGGTGCCTGATCCTATCTGTGGAAACACAGGATTTGTCCATTGGTACCTTACCAAGGCATGACGGACACTGCCTCAGATATAGTAACATATAGGACACATTATTGGAATGAGGTCTACATGGAACTACCTCTGATGATACTTCAGAACCTAGTGAAAATGTGGCCTCCTCAATCTAGTGGGAGCTAGATATAATACTGGATGAATACATTCTGAATAACTGATATACTGGCTGCCTACTATGTTCCAGAACTGATTCAACTTGCTGATTTTGATCTTTTGGTCTAAATAGTTCGGGACCAAGTTACTTGATGGACAGCTTGCACATATCTGAGTATACTCAGGACTTAGGATTGGCTACGGAGACTTTTCTTGCAGACTCACCAGCTACAGTTAGGCTGGCATGGATATGAGACAGGGCCTCCTCATGGGTAGAACTCCCTCCCTAGAAAGATATATTTTGTGTCCCCACATTTTCTCCCATTCTTTTAGGTAGGTTCTGAAGACTGCTGCTTCAGCTTGCTTTTTGTATGAGATTCATTTATTGTTCTTGTTTAATTTTGCAGAACATTTTGACTGGCTGTCAGTAATTTCATAAGGTTTACTGCATTACGTGTGTGTGCATTGTGAGCTGCTTTGAGTTCAACAACACTTTCAGTTCAAGAGAACAACAAAATTATTTAAATAAATAAGTACAAGGATGATGGCAATTAACTTAAAAGATGTTGAAAGTTCACATTAATCCCTCTGCATCTGGACACTCATCTAATGGGATGGTGAAATGCAATGTCCTGTAATAGCAGGGAAATGGACCCAATGGCCTTCAGACCCTTACCACTCTACTATTCTATGAATTCACTTCATTACACCTATTCAAACCAAACAAGTTTAAGTATTACAGTGCCATCATTACTCCAAAGCACTTTTGTTTTTTAAGTGGTAATGGGACTTGCATGTCCACGTGCAGTTCACAAGGGTTAGCCTATTAATTTGAATGGAATGTTCTATTTTAAGACTTAATTGCTTTGAAAAACTAAATGGAGGAACTTCATGTGCGCACCTTTGCATGTATTTATCTGCCCTCTCCTTTGAAATGAAAGGACCAACCTACATAGGTATGTGTTGCATTTACACACCAGCGTTCATAAAGCGTTCTTGATCGAGAGCACCCAGATGAAAACGCATCATCCGGGCAACGTTCAAGAAAAGGGTGAGATGGCAACAGTTATACTTGAAGTAGAAGAACCACATTCGTATTAAAACTACATTAGCAATTCTTAGTTTTCTAAAGTCAAGTGTACAAGGTGTTAAACTGTGTGTGCAGCATGCACAAAACCTCTGATTATAGCCGCTGTATTTATGCATCTAAGACGATGGCACTGCATTGCTAAAACACATGTCAATCTTAACAGCACACACACCGGATGCAAAAATGAAAATCTTTTGTTTCTTCATGCAAGCAGGCATGGCTATCCATGTGAATGATGATTGTAACTGAAGCGTCGATCTAATTAACAACTAAACTCTGAATAATGTTAATGAGAACTGAACACGGCATCAGAGAAAAGACCAGCTCCACAGGTGATAAGCCTTCACAGTGGTGACATTTTCCAGTGTAAAGTCACAGTTACTGTGATCTGATCAGAGAGAAAGAGACCCCCATTGGGTCCAATTATAACCATAGTTTTGGAAAAAGAATTATTGAGCTATGATGTTCATAATCTATGCAGAAAGGCCTTTACAGGATAGGACTTCTCTTTATAGCTGTGATCTTTTCAATTTATATCCATGCTCCATAGATCCAGATAAAAGTTTAGAGTCTGATTCATTCAGTCCACGAAGAGCCTACACCAATCCTCACTTAAGTTTTTTCACACATACAAACAAACAAACAAAATGCAATCTGCAACTTTCAAAAGTGAGAGTTCACTATTGCAAATAACTTGCACGGCACATTCCCATGTGCAATTTCTGAAAAAAATGATACAATAACACCAACAGTTATACTTAAATAAGTGGAAAACGTTGAAATGTTGTGAAACACACCTGTTTTATATTTTGGAAGAAATATAAAACCAAATGTAACTGACATTTCAATTGCAACATTTGAAATTTATATTAAACCAAATATTCATTATATATTTAAATATACTTTTTATGCATTTTCTTGAGAGTAAGCCCCACCAAACTCAAGAATACTTATTTTCAAGTAAACATGATAGGCTCAGGCTGCAAATTAACAGCATAATCAGTGTCTCTGTTTTCTTCTCCTGTACTATCATCTCTGCAATCAGCTTTAGGGAGAACAGATACCTACCCAATCCAGAAGTGTCTCATCCA